CAATCGCAATCAAGCACTTGGAGTCAAAAGTATCCAAAGCAATATGCTAGATACTGCAGTTCAATTACCAGCAGTGTTCACTTTACAAATCCAACTCTATAATATATCATCAGACAACAGCCAGTAATATTTGCTACGTCATCAACTCGATACATGTCGAGTATCCTGATTTAATCTTACTGCAGATTTAAACTATTTGGCTGATCAACCGACTCGAATGTTGATGGATTACTATGTCAATCGACTGTTTTGACCCGATATCACCACACTTGACATGCCAACACATGCGACATATGATGGAGTGATGGAAATACTCGAAATACACAATACAACTCTTGCAGCAGTGTATGAAACTATCAAGCATGACATGGTATGACATGAAGGGTGTAGATTAGACTTGATAACAATGTGTATAATTTAGAAATAGCAGCTCTGATTTCAACATCAAATTGATTATAAATTCCAAAGTTGTTTTAACCTTGTATAAATGATCAAAATAATTATTTCAGACATCAACAGTTTAAACGATGAAAATCAAAGAGAAACCAAGAGTGTCTCCCACGCATTTGAACATTCAACAAATCGCGCAATCGAATGCAATGGAAACAAAATCTTGAATTGGTAAAGTTTGCATTCTACTCGACAACTTCCGATCTTGTTGTGACTGGAATCAAATCTACTATTACTTCTACTACCCATGACTCCTCGTAAAGGAAAACTGAGGTATATTGACTGTTGTTGGTGTTGTTTTATTACTGCTGTCTAACCCTAGTTTACTCGTTGTATTCAACATGATCTAGCGATATCAACCCTTCAGACTTGTCGCATGCTGACAAGGCTGATGACCCTGCCCTGGCTATTCTCAAGAAAAAGGCATCTCCAAACAAACTTTTGGTTGATGATGCCACAAACGACGATAACTCTGTCTGTGCCATGAGCACTGCTACCATGGAGCTGCTGCAACTGTTTAGAGGGTGAGCACTTCCGCCCCTGGCATGTTGCTGTTGAATCTATTTTTGCAAATGCTTGATTTAGTGAATACTGTTGTCGTCTTGTATATTCTACAATCTAAAACCCACCAAGGCTGTAGATTCATGCTTGCAATTTAGTCCATCGTTTAAAGTGTCTTGGCTACACTGTAGTACATCACTTGTTCGTGCAGCTGTTTTGTACAAAAATATGCAAAAGCCAGCCAACTTTAATGAGTTCAAATGCCATGATACTGCCTTGTAAATTGGCGTCTGTCATTCCATGAGATTGACTGCTTATGTACTCTGGCATTCCTATTTTATGTGGATATGCCTGTAATAACAATACAAGCGCTATTCCTTAAAGTTTCGTTTGCTGTTCACATCAAATGCGTAATCTTTTGAACTGAAGCAGAGTGCATTCGTTCCATATTGGACTACCATTATCTGTATAATACAGTATATATCTTGTGCAAGCCGTTATTTTTATCCATTGACTTGATGCGCCTTCCGTATTGCTACATGTCTCTTGTCTACCATTTACTAATGTCTTGTTTTTGAAATCCCTGTGACCATACAAACTAATCATAGCGACACTGTTTTGCTCAAGGGAAAAATGCGTAGAGATACTGTTTTGATTGTTCTTGCAGATGACGAAATCGAAAATTCTCGTATTCGCATTAACAAAGTTGTTCGTGGGAATCTGCGTGTACGCCTTGGCGATGTTATTTCTGTTCATCCCTGTGTTGATATCAAAAACGGTGCTCGAATCCATGTTCTTCCCATTGATGACACTATTGAAGGTCTCACTGGAAACATTTTTGATATTTATCTAAAGCCCTATTTCTTGGAAGCATACAGACCTGTTCGCAAGGGAGACTTGTTCAGTGTTCGCGGTGCAATGCGTGTTGTAGAGTTCAAGATTGTTGAAGTTGATCCTGGACCATACTGTATTGTAAGTTTTTTGATTCGTGCAGCTCAAATGCCATGCTTTTGATTTATTTTAAAATTTCAATCTGTGTAGGTTGCACAAGACACTGTTATACACTGTGAGGGAGATCCTATCAAGCGTGAAGAGGAGGAACAGAGTCTGTCTCAGGTCGGATATGACGATATTGGTGGATGTCGCAGACAGCTCGCGCAGATTCGTGAGTTGGTTGAGCTTCCTCTTCGTCATCCACAACTGTTTAAGAGCATTGGCATCAAACCTCCGCGTGGTATTCTCATGTTTGGTCCCCCTGGTACGGGCAAAACTCTGGTTGCTCGTGCCGTTGCCAATGAAACCGGGGCCTTTTTCTTTTTGATCAATGGTCCTGAAATCATGTCCAAAATGGCCGGTGAGTCTGAAAGTAATCTCCGCAAGGCTTTTGAAGAGGCAGAAAAGAACAGTCCTGCTATTATTTTTATCGACGAAATTGATGCCATTGCTCCCAAGCGTGAAAAAACCAATGGTGAGGTCGAGCGTCGTGTCGTTTCACAGCTACTTACTCTCATGGACGGTCTCAAGGCTCGCTCCAACGTTGTTGTAATGGCTGCCACCAATCGTCCCAACTCGATTGATCCTGCCTTGCGACGCTTTGGCCGTTTTGATCGCGAGATCGACGTTGGCATTCCTGACCCTACTGGCCGTCTTGAAATTCTTCGTATTCACACCAAAAATATGAAGCTTTGCGATGATGTTGATTTAGAACAGATTGCATCCGAAACCCATGGCTTTGTTGGTTCTGATATGGCTTCGCTCTGCTCTGAGGCTGCTATTCAGCAGATTCGTGAAAAGATGGATTTGATTGATTTGGAAGAGGACACTATTGATGCTGAGATTTTGGACAGTCTTGCTGTTACCATGGAGAACTTCAGATATGCTTTGGGCATCTCCAATCCTGCTGCTCTTCGGGAGACCATTGTCGAGGTTCCCAATACCAGCTGGAATGACATTGGTGGACTAGAAAAGGTTAAACAGGAACTGCAAGAGACTGTCCAATATCCCGTCGAGCATCCCGAAAAGTTTCTCAAATTTGGTATGTCTCCCAGCAAGGGTGTTCTTTTCTACGGCCCTCCAGGCTGTGGCAAAACTCTTCTTGCAAAGGCGATTGCCAACGAATGCCAAGCCAATTTTATTAGTATTAAAGGTCCTGAGCTACTTACCATGTGGTTTGGCGAGTCTGAAGCCAATGTTCGCGATGTTTTTGACAAGGCGCGTGCTGCTGCTCCCTGTGTTATGTTCTTTGACGAACTTGACTCTATTGCCAAGGCTCGTGGAGGAGGTGGTGGTGGAGACGGTGGTGGTGCCGGTGACCGTGTGCTTAATCAGATCTTGACCGAAATGGATGGTATGAATGCAAAAAAGAACGTTTTTGTTATTGGTGCTACAAACAGACCCGATCAAATCGATGGTGCTCTTTTGCGACCTGGCCGTCTTGATCAGCTTATTTATATTCCACTTCCAGGTAGGTTTGAAGATGTAGCCCGTTGTATATTTGAAACTATTCTGACATTGCTTTAAATATACTAAACCTGCAGATGAGGCATCTCGACTTTCCATTCTCAAGGCTACTCTCAGAAAGTCGCCTGTTTCTCAAGAAGTTGACCTTCATTTTATGTCCAAGGCCACACACGGATTCTCTGGTGCTGATTTGACTGAAATCTGTCAACGTGCTTGTAAATTAGCCATTCGTGAATCTATTGAAAAAGAAATTAGCAAGGAACGTGTACGCAAGGAGGCTCAGGCTCGCGGCGAAGATCTTATGGAAGCTGATGGTGAAGATGAAGATCCTGTTCCCGAAATCACTCGTGCTCATTTTGAAGAAGCCATGAAATACGCTCGTCGATCCGTCTCTGATAACGATATTCGCAAGTACGAAATGTTTGCACAAAATTTACAGCAACGTCTTGGATTTAGCGGATCGTTTAAATTCCCTACACCTACCGGCGAAGGTATTACCGGTGGTAGCGGTACTACCGGAGCCACTGCTTCTGGATTTGAAGAGCAGGCTGGAGCTGATGACGATCTATATTCATGATCATCTCAGTTTTCTAGCCTATTGGTGTTGTTTTTCTGTAATCTTTGCTTGCAAAATTTAAAAAAGACAAGAATATGCTTCCTTGTTTGCTTTCGATTCTATCTGGTCTTGTTGGAATTAAATTTATTTGCAATCTTAAATCAACTCACCACCCAAAAATCCAGCCTGCTTTGCCTTTTGCTTGAGATTGACAACCAATAAATTTTCGATACTGTCGCTTATACTAAAACCTTGGCATTTGATTCCATCCATTCTTTGGTAATTAGATCATTTTAGACAGTTGAAAATATGGATGTTTTGGCTTGAAACACACCAAGAGGGACTACTAATCAAATGGCAACCACAGCTGCATTGTCTAGAGGCTGTAAAAAAGTATGACCACTCTTCAGTTCCATATCAGCAATGTTTACCGAGTATTTACTACGCATGTGAGCAGCAATCTCTTCAACACGTTGGTGTTTGCATTGCAGAGCATATGCATACAGTTTTTTCCAAATAGCAATATGTGTGTGAGAGTGTAGCTTTTCAAATTTTTTGGCATATGAAATAGCACCGTCGATATCTTGTGCAATACAGTAGGCTTCTATGACCAATACGTAAACAACGGGCATTGGTTTAAATTTCGTCATGTTCAATAGCTTTAAAGCAATTTTAACCGATGCAGGATCTCCGTGGTAGCAGTATCCATTCGCCAGAATCAGCCAAAGCTTTCTTTTAGAAATGTTGTACTGCTTCGACATTTTATGCACATGGTTCAGATTTTTACAATCAGTAAGCGAGCCAACACATTTTGCCAGATCCTGCTGAATTAAATAATTTGGATTGGCAGATTTCAAAAAATTGGATAAACATGTCCATAATAGATCCGAGTTTTCAAGACCGATATGGATTCGGATTTCCTCTCCAAGCAAAACACGTCTGTTGAATCTGTTTTGGGTACGCAGTTCTTGAAAGTAGTCCAGTGCTTTCTGATATTTTTCAGTTTGAGTATATGCGCGGAGTAGTGCAACATCAAGGGAATTGCTCATGATTCCTCCAGTAGACCGATACTGCTCCACATACTTTATAACCGTTTCAAACTGCTTGTTTCGTTGATAAAATGTACAAATACTGAACAGCACCTCGTCAGTCATACCGACTTTAGCATCAGCAAGTCGCTCAAGAGTAGCCAGCATTCCTTCCTCATTGTTGGTATACGCATACGAACCAATGAGTGCATTGTACGATCGTGGTGAGTTGTCAATAGCAAGAAGCTCTTCAAACGCTTGGTGGCCTTTAGCTTCCTGGCCACATATAATATACGCACTACAAGTGTTTATAAGCAATTGTACACGAAGACCATGATGTCGTACTGATTTGAATTGTGCAAGAATGCTTTCAACACCTGATATGTTTTTGGTCACGGCGTATATATTTAAAATAATCCATAGTGTGGCTGGATCTGGTCGAGCTCCAGAATCTTTCATAGTCTTGAATACATCCAACGCCATACTTGCTCGGTATGGCCTTGGCGCCAACTTGTATGTTTGGCCTTTATTGTACCAAACTGAAGCTATGATTTTTTGAAAATAGACTTTTGGAAGTTTTTTGAGCAAAGAAGGATTGGTTTTTTTGATTTGGAGATAAGTAAAATGTGCCTGGCCAAGTTGGTTTTGATCGATTGCTTCCATCAATTTTTCAATGTTGTGCAAGTTTTCATTGTTGGTAGTAGACTGAGTGGGTTGTGTGGATAAGGTTTGGAATGGTTCATTTTCATTGCAGCTCAATAAAATAGAATCATTTGGATTGGGATAAGCAAGTATTGAAGAGTCTGGCGGAAGAGTTGATTTCAAAGAGTCGGATGTTAGAGTTGACAAAAAGCGATAATGTAAAGTGCACAAAGCAGGAATCCAGTTGTGATGGTTTGATGAGAGCTGAAGAGCTGGTCTAGAAAAAAGTCTAGAATACTTGGGCAGTAAGAATGTAACATGTTTGTTCATCACACCATAGCAATGTGACATGGCTGGCAACAGTGAATGCTGATTCGAGTGAAGCTTTTTTTGTTGAATTGAAATTTAATTTATTACAGTTGAATCACGTAAAATGGAACTTTATTTTGTATCAATTTTTTGCTTTGAAATAATCAATATTTGGATATTCGCTGTGCTTTCATTGTGTTGCATTTTATGTGAATACGACTGTACTGTAGATTCAGTCGTATCAATTGAATTGTGGTTAGTATTTTCAATGACTTGCATCGATTCGTTGCAATCTAATATGTTCAGTGGATTATAGATTTGATGGTATCGCAGTTTTACTAAAGCTTACACTCGTACTCGAGCAAATATCAAGTTGTTTTTACTCGTAACCATGTACGCATATATATGCTTGGTTGTCTTGTTGATGGACATTTCTTGAATAACAAACTGCATATGATTTGATACACATCAGTCATTAGATATTCTATCATCGGCCAAACCCTTTAGCACAATAATCTCTGCATTTAACATCTGGTTCTGCTTTTCAAGTTTTTTAACCTGAAAACAAACTCTTCTAATTGCTTTTTGGCCATTTGATTTGCTTTTGATGTTTCTGTTGGTGACGTGACTGATCCATACGTTGCAGCCTCCATTGCAATTGATTTAATGTCATGCAATAATCAATTGGCTTTTGAATTCGAGTCAACCCGAGTCAACCCGAGTCGGATCGAGTTGAGTGAAACAGTTTGTAATTCCAGATTATCATGGTTTGTATTCAATCTATGTGATGATATATACATGGAGCTTACACACGGTTTGACCACACGAGACAGCGACTGTGGTACGGTATCCAATTCCAGCAATATCCCGTTATTGTGAGACATTATATATTGCTGCCATTCAACAATAACATGTGTGTATATATGCGATTTGAATAAATGATCGTGTTACAACCCCTGACTATCCAAGTACATATTTGAATTGGCATCTGGAACTTGGTTGCAGGACTATCAGAGTCTATGCATATTTGCATGTATAGTTGCCAGTTTATGCTCCAAATTCAGTGACAGATAATCCACCAACGCTGTGTAGGTAGATTGCAATATTTGGGGTGTTTTCAATGCATTTTGTCCAGTAGTGTCTGGGATACGCACTGTCGAGTTATTGTGATGCCACATCATGGTTGTAAGTTGATACACGTTGGCATTCATCACTAGCATTCACTCATTCATCACTGACATGCTCTTGATCATACCGATCTGTGTTGAATGCGTTGCATAGTATTGAATTGTTGTGCTGAATGCAAGTGCTGGTTTGAACGTGCTACATCTGAGCGCAGTTTAGTCAAAATCTCATGTTGAATACTAAACATGGCATCCGAGTGATACAATCAAACGTGCTTCACCATCTCTCCAATTTTGGATTTGTGAAACCTCGATATTATACATTCCATCATTCATCAGATTGTCTACCTTGTCACGTCAACGCAGCTCCGATCGTACTTGAGTCTACATATTGTCCAAACTCGACACTCCATGTTAGTGTATGTTGAACCATCCAGATCTTTGAACTGGTCATGGGTGAAAAACGTTGACTCGGATCCCCATACGGAACATTGATCTCGTTTGACACACTATGCATGTCCTAGCTGGATACGTCATAACATTAGCGCAACTAATAATGTATGGGTTGAGTTGAGTTGATAAATCATCGCCAGATTCAAACACCTCCATACCATCAATACCAAATGCATCCATCGACGCGCTGGATGAGATCTGGTTCAAGTCACTGATGTCGCGATAATGTAGTGTCCTCGACGATCCAAACCAAGGTATTTGCTGTTTGACAGTATGTATGTAATGACTTGTTTGCTGCCAACTTTGAATACGAGTATGTCAGAATGAACTGGGATTGCATTTGATGTTCCATGTGTACGACTAGGTACTGCACAATATGTTTACAATGATGTGGTGCTAGATAATCGTGTCAATGGTGTCAATGACTCAATAGTTGATGATGTGATGGGTGTAATACATGGCCACTGATCATGTCTATACACAGATACTCGTTTTACAGGAAATGGTATGGTAGGAGCACATTCAACTGTGGCATGGCTCTGCATCAGCACCATTCATTTTAGGATATGTTTGAAATGACATTGATTAATGTTTAAAATGGGTTGATGCATCTAAACTAGCTTTGAAATCAATTTATGGAACTTCACGCTAATGCATTATGAATAGCCTGCGACCATGATGAATCTAAAATCATTAGTATCGACTTGTTTGGGTAAATGATGAGCAGATTTGTATGAATTGGCCAATACTGAATTCTGAGACTGTCAAGTTACATTTTAATGATCCAACAGCCTATCCAACAAGCCAATACTGGGTTGAATCCAATTTAATCCAATCCGATTTAATTTAATCCAATACAATTTAATCCAATGATCTGATTTTGAAATTGCGCGGGTTGCACGAGCTGCCAAATTCAGCAAGTTGTGGCTAAAGAAATGTAAATGGCAATATTATGGTCTTGCATCATCTTGGCAATGGTAACTGTCCAACAAAGCTGTCTTGTTCATATGGGGTTGTATTTTACTTGGCTATCATCAAACTACTTTGAACTGTTGTGTATTTGGAATGAAGCATGGTCGACTATACTCTTTGATATGTAGATCTACATTTTATAGTGAGTTGGAGCACATGAGGTTGGTCAGTGGTGAGTGTTGATGTTGCCAGCCTTTCAAAGCTATCAGAAAAACAGTGACTAGGTCCGTTTCCATATCCAATTCAACTGTCGACAATGCACACATCGGTTGCTCGTATACTATGACTTGCTATTGAACCAAATCCAACGATTTGTTCAAAATTCAATGATTTGATAATCCATCAGCAGTAAGTTGAAAGGACAGGTTTCTACCAATGTCATAATATCACCAGTGTTGAGTTGATGACATATATGTTATGGGTATATCAGATGAAGAGAGTATTTTGATATTAGCGTGCTTGATTTTCCAGTCAAACAGAATAACAGACATTTGTATTTTCAGTATATTTGATCCATGCAATGAATACCAAACAGACATTTACGTGGGTTGTATTTACTAACCTAGTGTATTGATTAGATCCAGTAGTACTATTTTGATTTTAGCAATGCATGAAACCTTGTTTGTCTGGTATGCATTACCAATGTATTTTAGGTAGTAGTGAAGAGTTGCAGTTCAGACGCGTAAAAATGTGCAGATTTGTGTAGATTGACTGACTGGATCTGTGTATACCATCAATGTGTTGCACAGATTATACGGAAGATGTGTGGATATACTTGCTCATGTAAACTAGCTGAACCGGGTGTCACTGCGTTCAAGACTACTTGAGCAGTTTGTATTCGATGCAGTTGGAGTATCATGCAATAATCGTGTGAACAGACTCGTCACTACAGTCATACACAACCATCAACCACTACAGTCGTACTAGACGTCTACAAGTATGAACATGCAGTGCGTTTGGTTACTATTCAATCGAGTAGATCTTGGTCACTATCCAATCGAGTAGATCTGCCTATCACATATACAGTCAGACAGACAGACACAATACATGACCACATTACAGCATACGGTTGGCATAGTTGTATGAGATGGTTGTACAGTATCAACTGCAGTACAAACGAATCTAATATCATCAGCCATGACCGCTGCAGGAGTTGTCAGCAGCACAGCATTACGCATTGTCCATCGTACATGGATTGACTATTGGGAACGTTCACCGCACTACCCAGCCACCCCACACACTTCAAGCTGGCACATAGATCCCCGATCCGTCAGAGTCGGAGGGATGATGATGATATGGTCCAATCAACTCAAAGTATTATGTGTTGATGCATTAATGCAGCTAGTTTGTGTTACTCGATTCCACGAGATCGATGCGTGCGGAGTCTGGGATTCAAGGTAAAATAACGAATTAATTGATGATAGTTTGATTATTACGGGACGTTTTTGCAATGTATTTGATTATTACGTGCTGAGAGTTTGGCTTGTCGGGGATTCGCATGTCAATTGTTTCAGTTAAATAATGCATCGTTTGTCCAGATCCGACACCATTACCTACTTTCTGATCAAGATCTTACTTGTCCATCTACCTATTGATCCAAAACTCGCTTGTTTACCTACCTATTGATCCAAATCTCAGATCTGATTGTTTCCCTTGTGTATTTTGTTAAACAGTCATACACACTACTTGTTTGAACGTATTAGTTTGCAGCAACGATTGCAACTATTACAACTGCTACCCATATTATTGTTATCAAGTTTCGAGATCAACTCGTTTTACATTTTCATTTCCATTCATTTCCTGACACCCTACAAATACCAATAATGAGTTCACTGTGGTCCCGTCTCAACATCTTATCGGCTCTTTCTCCAAAACAGTCTTGCCGTAGTGTGCAAAACACTATTCCCCAACCAACCAATGCTTGTGAAAATGCACCACACCTTGCCGAAGCAAGCATGAATCCAGAAAGGTATGCAGTACAGTATTTGTATTATAGTTGTGCATCTGAATATTGTATTTTGGTTACACAACACATTGCTAACATGACTGTTTACTTGCATGTGTATTATTTACGATTTGATGATTGCATTTACGGTATTTTGGGATGGACTCGAAACGTTGCCGAATTTAATTTTGTTGATTCGACTCCGACTACGCGACTTTGATGGTAATGATTTTGACTGTTTTTGATGCTATCTAATGTCATTGAACGTCATTCGATGTGTATCAATTGTGATTTGTGTTGGTTGGTATGATGTGCTGGTTGATTATTATTTGGGATTGAATTGGTTGATGCCTAATTTGATTTATGGGACAATGGGTTAAATGCTACTTTAAACTTTTACTGTTGTTTGTGCATAATTTTGTAATGTTGTGATTGACTAGTTCAAATCAGGAAAACATATACACTGATATGTATACATCCAGCCCAATCAGTCCAATCAGTGCAATCAGTACAGTCAGTCCAATCAATGATTCAAGAATCCCTACTTCACCAAGTAAGTGTGTGATTTTTGTATCAATTTCTCACGAGTTTTGGATGTGAATGCATGTGAATGCATGTATTGTGGATTGTTTAGGCTGTAGTGTGTTGATGGTAACTATACTGATTATATTGACTGATGGATTGATTGTTTTAAAACATTTCCATTATAGTCTCGTCCCTGATTGAGGCAGCTAGGATACTGCAGTCTGGAAAGCAATGCGACTCTACAGTATCAACCATATATACTGCAGAGTCCATTGCACCAGATTCAGCAGTGACTGGCCATTCATCAGGACCCGTTGAGCATTATACCGATGCTCAAGCATCTATGCTGTCATACAGCTATGCTAAACGGGTTTTGGCGTGTGACAAACCGCCTTTTGAAACTCGGTATAAAGTAAGTTGGTTGTATTAGTATAAATCTTGGGTTTAGCTTTGAAATTACACAAGCTGTGCTGGATTGATACAACTGTATAGTTATGATTGACTAATGTTTTATTTATTGGTATGTGTCAACCATTTATATTTGACAGGCTGACCAGATGATGTACACAAGCAGTAAGCTTCCCGGTGAAGCTGATAGATCAAAAGTGTGGCAGCCCATGTCATCACTGAGGGATTCTATCAGCTTCCGGGAAGTTTACCGAAAGCAAGGGTTCCTGCGCGAGTTACCCATAGGTCGCCAGTTATGCAACATATTGTTGTCGAATAACTCGGTGGACATGGTTGACTCGATGGAGCAATGCAACCGGTCGGATGTCTCGATGGACATAACCGAACCGGTTGCGAATTGCTCCGGGATTCCCATGGACGTCGAAAATCCCATGGATTTTGACGTGTACATGGATGACACCGACATCCCCGTGGGTGTCGAGGATCTGCCAGGTACGCGTAATATATAGTTTTAAATGTCAGCGGTATATCAACGTATGTGATTTACTAAAGTAATTGTTTACTTTATATTACATTAGCACCTACATTTCCAGGTATTGAGGTTGACCTCATGCCGGGAGTGCGCATTCTGGTGGATACTGTCAAAGTTCCACGCCTTGCTGAGACTCTTCAGCATCTTTCCCAAACCGGGGCAGGGTTTGAAAAGATTCTGGAGAGTCTGATTGCTGCATATGAAGATGGATATCATATGCAGCAACAGCAAGGAACCCAGAATGCTGGCAGCTCCGAGTCTTTTTTGGCTGAGCGACCAAAAAAGACGGTCCGATTCGCTCTGGATGACGCTCCATCCAAACCACTAAATGTAAGTGTAATAGTGCTTGAAATGTTTGAAACGGTTAGTAATTGTATAGATGTTTGTACTCATCCTTTTTATTTCCCCAGACTACAAATGCGTGTGATCCGGTAAAGGACACACTGGCAGGAGTGGAGCAGCCAAGCGTCAAGTCCAAGTCCAAGGCTGGAAAAAAAGTAAGTTGACGCATTTGTATGCCATTATTAACAGCAATGACTTACATTTAAACTTTACCATTTTCACACTTAGATGCCCAAACTTGCAAAGCAGACCGAGCTGAAAAAGGCTCGTGGGTCTGTCAAGCGGGTCAAGCCGGAGCAGGTCTCCAAGTTGGTCAAGCAGACCAAGCCAAAAAATACTTGGTCTGCTAAAGTAGCACCAACCTTGCAAGACGTTGCAAAGTTGGAGTTACTTAACCAACAGCGAGACCTGCGAGCGGCGCGGCGGCGCAACACGAGCAGTGCTCCTGTCATTGATACTTGTATCAAGGAGCGATCTTCCAAAAAACGGAAGATCAACTGCGAGGTTGACGCAGATCAACCCCATCCTCCGCGAAATCCAAAGCGGAGATGGATGATCTAAACTTTGGAATTGAAGCTTTTGGAAGGAAGCTTCAATTCCATCTCCACCTCCATCACTATCTACCCCTTCCATTATACCCTATTGGATACCTATCTACTCCTTCCATTATAACCTATTGATAACCAACTAATACCTGTTAAAAATACCCACTAATACCTTTTAAATAACTTGTTAAAAATAACCTATTCCAATACCTTTTAAATACCTATTAAATAAACTTTTAAACAAAACCATTAAATTGCTTTATAAAATCACTTTGAATTTAAAAAAGCTTGGTTTAAACACTCATTTGCCACATGGTGTTTAGTTTCCATTTTGTTGATTCTACCGTCGTGTTTCCACAACTTTAGACTGTTTGTGGTTCAATCTTGTTGTATCTGCATGTCTATTGGATTGTGTTGATGAATGTGTAGATTTCAAATTTACTTTGGTTATAGTGTATTGTTTAGAGTAGTTTAGTACATTGATGTGATATTTTCCGCACATTCATGTTGGGTTGCATCTAGATGGTTAGTCAATTCAATGCATTAGAGCATCTCAAAATACACGATAGTATGCATGCAAGCCATCAACCAATGCAAATGTATTTATTACAAATATGGTGCATCAAACACAAATTCAAGTAGACTCTAAAACGTCATGTGTAGAGTGCGGTACACTTCAGATACCAAATCAAGTGAACCACAAATAGCAACAATGCAATCGGTGTTACTAGATGTGATAACGTTCCACGCATTTGCAAAACTGTCAAAGCATTGCGATGGCGTATCGCCTTGAATCAGTGTATTGGCCACATGTGCAATAATACGAGTATCCTCTGAATGAATCCAAAGCATATCAAGTGGTTGTGCAAATGGAACGACAAACACGATCTTGGGTTGAACAAGGCATGAAAGTAAATTATGGATATCTATTCCATTAGTAAATTCAACAATCCAGTAAACATGTGCAAGTAGCGCTATTGCATTTTGTTGATGGTTGACCTAGTCTGCACGAACTACAGCAACCAATGGGTTGTGTGCACCATCAAGCAAAATACGACGATTTGTAGGCGGATCTGAAATAGGTAGATCTAGATGCTGAATTCATTCCATTCTACCAGGACATGTTACAGAATCAATCACATTGATTGTATCAAATACATATTTCAAATAGCAATCCAACATTTTTAAAACACCCATTGAACTGTAATGTATCATGTGGTGGTACCAATACATATCTTGGTATGCTCAACCCAACAGACATAGCAAGTACTGTTTAACTCGACAGTCATTCAGTATTATCACACATGAAACCTGTTGGCCAGCCATTAGACCATCACGTTGGGTTGATGTTGTGCTCTCATGTGTATCGATCGGTTGATTTTAAACAGCTTTGAATAGTTTCTAAACTTTGAATATAATTTGTATTGTCGTCAGATATAATTAGCACTATTCACGCAAAACAAAACATTTTTAATTATTATTTTGCTTTGGATGGTCAATAGTTAGTTATTTGCAGTGTTCTATACTACACATCAACTTTATCAATATACATTGTTAATCCTTCAATAAACACAACGTTTGTCGTATGATGTACACAATCAAACCATCGGTTTGAACTGGAGTAATCTCATCATTTGACATGGCCATACATTGTACAATGACCAAATTGATGCATTGCAATCCAAATATTGGTTTGATTGTTGTCAAATCTATACAAACTTTGTATTTTAATCGGATACATTCGCGTTCTAGTTCAACATATTTTAGGGATGCAATTCTACATGCTAATCATCAAACAGTATCAATCAACTAAACAGTGTATATGGCACAATGCCAACCAATAAACTGACGCCAATCATTTCATGAGACTGGCTGTTTGTTATACACACTCTTATTTAGTGTTGCATTTTATGTGAATACGACTGTAATACGACACATCTAATCCAATTATAATTTTTATTTTCCACATTAAAGATTGAAAAGTATCAGGTTTTAACATGTTTGTACAACTATGTACAAAGATTCAGTTTTAAAATACTAGACATGAGCGGATCGCGTGGATTGATACAATCAAAATGCATAGCAGGTGATGGAAATGAGCTGGTAGCTAATGGTGAAATGTTGTTCAAAGAGTTTGGCAGTTGTCGAGTAATCAGCATTATTGTTTTAATACTGGGTCGTTTAGAAGGTTCCAGGTTCCAACACGCCTTCAACGTTTCCCATAACAAATCTGGAACATGCTTCGACTGTACCGGAAGCAATGGTTCACCAGAAGGTAAATGCTTGATCGAATGATTTGAGGAATTAGGTGAACATGATTGGCTAGAATAAACCTCCATACATACGCTTGCAAACGCGTATATATCCATAGGAAGACTGGGCTGATAGTCCTTGGTAAGATATTTAGGAGATACCCGATTTAAATCACGACAATCACTGTTTTCTTTATACAACTCTTTAATAGTCTGAAGCATTCCAAATCCAGATATGCACACAATCCCATCATGATCTACCAATGTTTGATAAAAAGGCATTTACGATTTTGTAAGTATAAGAATATTTGCTAAAATGTGTATAATACTATAATAAATCACCTAAATATATGTTTTCTGTATCTAGATTCCCATGAATAACTGGCTCGGAAAGTGTATGCAAATAATACAATCCCATGGCAACAGACACAACGATATTATTGCAAGCCAGTGCGTCTAGAGGCAAAGAATGCTTGAGATGATGGGATAGTGTGCACATAATAGGACGAGTGACAATAAATGGATGCTCGACATTCAAGCATACACCCATAAGTTTAGAAATATGAGGATGCTCAAGCGGAAACCACATGTCAGCATCGATTTCTATCAATTTTGCAATATGGCTATTCACTACTCCAGTTATGACTTCGACCACAACACGAGCACCATTCCAAACTCCATGATACAAGTCTCCAAGTTGAGTTGTTTTTAGATGATCGTTTGTCAAAATATGCACACCGCTACTTTGGATCGACCATGTTTTTGTCGAAGAAACTAGTCTGTGTATCTTTTTAGCAAGAAGTTTGGATACATTGGAAAGTATCTTTTCCATCTTTGCCTTTTCAGTGGCAGGGAGCTCAGACATGCGGGATTCTGTAAATATCTCAATATCGTGTAGAGTTTCCAAAAAGCTTTTTAACCCAAACATATTGGATTGTAAAATCACTTGATTAGGATACCTCACAAAGGATTAATCAGTTATAGTAGCAGGCAGATCTTACTTTGTCGATATTTGTGTACTTGAGCCCAGGCTAAGGACTAGGCGAGAAAAATCCTTGCTATCTTGCTTCAATGCTAAAGCCATGGAGTGTTCTTCATAAGAGATGGTCAAATTCATGTCCTAACAAATTGATAGTGAGTATCAAACACAAATAATAGCAACTTGCTAGCTGATTGGAGAATTCACCATCAGTTGATGGAGCTCAAAATAGTATTTACCTCGATCAGCTCAATCAGTCTAATGTCAAATAGCAAAAGCGCATTGGCTGTACTGTCCATTTGTAATATTTGCTGCAACAGGCTTTTCTGTGCTAGCTGCTCCAAATAATGGCAGATATGATCTAGTAAAAGTCCGATAGTAATAAACATGGGCATACTGGATTCTACTGATGGGTCTGATGTCTGGATTTGCTTGGCAAATGCCACTATAAACAAGCCAGTATGCATTCCAAGAGTTCCAAGAGCTATTCGGTTGGGTTGAATTTGACCAATGCTATTCTTGATGGACCTCAAAGATGCTGGTATAGTACTGAAAAATATATTTTTCATGGCCAAATGCATGGTTAATGAGAGTAGTTGAGGACTTGTAAAGCAGTTTGAGCAGCGATGAAGGGCAAGTTTTGTAGATATAAAAATGTGAGTTGTATTAATGAAGGAAAACACCCGAATTTACAAGATTGAATAAGTATAGAATGGCAAATATCCAAGTTTGTATCTGCACTTGTTGAAGCATTCTCATTTGATTCAACAGTAAAATATAAAGTTTAGATACGAATACAACTAATTGATGAATCTAGAATATGATTAAATGATGAATATTCCAATTGATGAATTTAGAGTATGATTAAATGATGAATATTCCAATAGTTTTGACAATTGAATTTAACCGGCTTGCTCAAACTGCTCTCGATATTCATTGTGTCGATACTCGCTAATCTTGATATTCATTTTTATCGATATTTATTAGTCTCGGTATGAATTGCTGCATATTATTCAGACTGGATACTTGACTCTAACCTTTTGGATTGACTTTTAGTTTCAATTAGTTTCATATACTTTACTACTCCAATGAAAGACCGACCAACCAGAAGATCTATTCTAGTAGCGAGTGAGAAAAACGCTGGTCAGAGCACTTCTGGTAGGCTATGCTATGGGTTTACATTCTCATTCGACTCAATGGTCAGGTTTGCTGCAGTGAATACTTTAACAAGTGTTACTGCACCAGTCTGTGTTGTTCATTAATGCGGTTTTAATGTTTCTGGATAAAACACTAACATGAACCATAGACACTTCAAACCAGCATGGCTCTACAGACTTGACGGTATGTTTTATAGTCCTTGAGAATCTTATTTCTGGGTCATTAGCTTGATCCATCATATTGATAAGATTTGTTCAAACATGTCTTGAATAATACATCTAAACACCATTGTAATAGCAGGACGCACAGAGGTTGGTAGCTGCCAGTTCGGCTGGTTCCAAAATGCATGCTACCTCTCAATCAAGTTTTTCCAACTTTAATGTTCCAATGGCCAATTTTCATCAGCAAGTTCTGCTACAATATGCTGCTATGCATGCTGCTGCATCGTCATCTGCAAATTCAAGTGTCACTGCTGCAGCAGTTGCAGCAGTTGCAGGATCTCTAAACTCTGCTGGAGGAAGTATGTTGTCGTAACTTCTAGTTGATTAAACCGTGCTATAGATGTAACTGTGATGATGGTGAATCATTAACCTGCGTGACTATTGAATATGTTTCCAAGTTCGACCAATGGGACTGCGATCTGCCTTTTCTACTCTGTCTTCTGGTAATACTTTATCTTGATTTATTAATAGGATTGCCAGCCTTTTGTTTAGTGTTTTGGGATCTGATAAAACTGGTAGATTCTTCATTGATAGACATGTCTTCACAGCCCCTGTTTTCAAAAGATGCTTTGCGAGCTTTAATGCGTCAGGTAGATGCAGAACAAAAGTTGGATGTGGACGTGGAAGATGTAGGTTTTTGGTATATCCATACTGTGATTGGGTAGCTGCGTATACTCATGTCTTTTGTATAATGATCAATCTTTCGACACAAGCTACTCTTGGATGTTGCCAGTGATTTTGTACTTAAAGTAGCGCATAGTTCTTGTCTATTGGCAAAGCACCGTCATTCAACAACGCTGGAATTGAAAGACGCTCAGTTACATTTAGGTATGTAGTATCTTTTTTAATGGGCTCGATATCCTTTAAACTTGTAACTCATGAAATGTAACACCTCAGATCGCAACTATGATATTCGTGTGCCTGGATTTGGTGAAGAGCTTCCTGAAATTACTCGGAGACGCAAGACCGGACAGCGAGTTCACGCTAGCCGCATACTACATATTCGTGAGACAATTCGTAAATCTAGCATGATAAAGCGGTCTGAGCGTCTGCGAGCCAAAAAACGCAATTAGTGAATATTTTTAATCATGCCAAGCTTGGTGAGATTGTCACTATTGATTTATAGTTGGTATAACTGCGTTGGTAATTTATTAATTGACCCATACTATGCAGTTTGTCATAAAACATTTGATTTTTTGAAACAAGTCGACGTCTTGCTATACTTGGCTAATAGATTGTTATTGTATGAATTCTGTTTCTATTTTGATATCTATAGATTTGAAACCATTTTGCTTTGGAATACACAATGGTTAAATACTCGTTGCAATTTCCTACTACAAATTAACTGCTTCAATAAACACGATCAAACTATGATTTTCAACCGAGACTCTTTTTTTGGTATAACCATAGATTGCACGATCACCAAGTTTGATATTGGGCTCGATTGTTTTAATGTTGTCAATCAAACTCCATTTGTTGTATTCTAAATGTCATGGATACGTTTGCGTCTAGTTCAAGAAAACAAGATTGCACGTCACAGGGACGCAGCAGCTGTTTACTTTAGATGCTTGGTTTGTAAAAAAGTAGGATTGAAGACCGAACAAGTAAAAGGCAGACCGGGACTGATGTGATTATATTTGTTTGGCTGTTTTATACAAGTGACCGTGGAGGAGAAATATTAATACACTTTATCGAATTTAGAGAGAATAGTGTTTAGTAAGTTGATACCAAACATTTCATAAAACTGACTGTTTACTGGATACTTTTATTCAGTGTTTCATTTTACGTGAATGCGGTTGTAGATTGAGTTTAATAGTAATGTGGTTCAACAAGACGTGAGAATAGACAGCAATCCAGCACGTATTGAATTGATGGTGGTTTAATGGATATTAATGATTGCTGTTTGATAATCAAGTATGCTACAAGTGTTAAAGTTGGAATTATTAGTGCTCAAGTGTGTTTTGTCGAGTGGTTGCATGATGGTGATTTATTATTATATCAGGACTCAATTAAACTACTATAAAAGGATCAATACTATCCTCTATTAATGAATCACTGACTTTATTCATTCCTCTACATTATACAACTCTTATCACTGCGCTATATTGAATGCCAATCTTCACTATTACAATTTACAAAAGTGATTGATTGTATAGAGTTTAATGGAGAATATCGCTAAACCATGACGTGCTTGAATCATGCCATTTGAAAAGCATCGAGTATCGCGACCACATTGGTGACCGTTATATCGACTAACGGTTAACCATCTAATAATCGAATGACATAGCTACTCTATATAGGCTATGCAACATTACTTTTAACTTGTACCTACTTGTTCATACTGTGATCACTAGCCGTTTTAGGGTTCAAAAAGATGGGGAACCCCACACACAATCAGCCGTATGATATCTGAATGCATATAATTAAGCGGCGGCTCGATCAAGATTGCGGATATTTTTATAAAGGGATCTTCTTTTGAAGTTACTTTAGCATCAATGACAAACAATCAGCACCAACCCTGACAACACGAGTTCCTTATGACGGCCATTCAAGGAACATGCTTTTCATATTATCCGATCGATAATGGATATAAATACGACCCAAAACCGACGTGTTGAATGACATTTATTACAACTTGCTCAACCAGACCAGTAAAATGAAACTCACAATATTGGCATCAATCCTGCTTGCTTGCTCAGTTACTACAGCTAGTCCGGTTCTTTCTAGTACAACCATGAGTGCCGAACCAACTTCTACTTTAGTTCCTCTTGGATCGAATGGAGATGCTGGATCTAGCACTTCAACTTCTGGTCTAGATTTAGTTGGTCTTGATTCACTTTCAGCTGAGGGCGAGACGTTGGTCGAAGACTACTCACGAATCAAGGATGATGTCAATGAAGTAAAAAGAGTGTGCAGTTTGCTAGGTGGCGCGATTACTAATCGAAAAAACTTGATGGGCAAGTTGGAAAGAGAGATCGAGGAGCTGAAATCTGAATTCGAAGGGAAAGAAGAAGCAGACTACCAGAAGAACCATTTAAAGCTTGTCGAGGAGATTGACGAAATAAAATCCGAAGTTGAAGATCTCCAAAACCAGAAAATTAAAGCCGAATCAGACCTTGATGAGTTACTGATATACCTGGTGGAGGCAGAAGTAGATCTTATAAAATACTTTTTCGGAGATATTCCAGATAGTCAGATGGATGATGCTCGCAGGGAACTTGGTTCAAATTCTGTCATTGCAAATCATATTACCAAATTCAATAACTCCCCTTCTAGTATGACTTAGAAACCACAATCCTAATGGTCAGCACACCATCTGAGGAGACGCTTACAACTTCTTTGACTTGAGCACCTCAAACTTTTTCCAATCCGCACGATCTCCTTGTTTCATGGAGGGTCAAATCATTTGAATTGATCTAAACGACGATTCATTCAATTGATTTGAATGCTAATCTAAACTGATTTCAACTGAATCTGTTGTATTTTTGTTTGAATAAAATACAATTGCCATCTGACATTTAATATTGTATCTGATTATTCCACAGTCTTGGTTGGCATGATATCATATTGTACATCGACACTTGTATTTACAATACAATACAGTTGATTGTATATTGCATAGTTGTACACATTGATGATGCTGACATGCATGTGTGTATTGTGTCGATATGATATTGCTTGTCATGTCGTATTGACACATGCAACACCAATACCAACAATAATCACATGTGTACAGTATTAATATGCTGCACAACTGTAATCCAAACAGGTTGACGCATACCACATTGTAGCAATGCAACCAACTTGGTACAACACATGTCAACATACATGTAGTGCAGTGTAGTGTATTGTACACTAGTAGTGATGATTCGACCAACGACATGCGTGGTTGTAATATTATACATGAAACCACATGCTCATGTCCATGTTCATGATTATGGTGACATACAGTGTTACAATCATGGGTCAGCAACAATGTGATGGAACTGGATGTGTAATATCAAAACCATGTCCAGAATACGTCATATAACGACAACTTGCAGTCGTATTGACATAAATGGATCACTAAATAACAGTGTCGTGGACTGATTGACAATACAGCGGTGTTGTTGGTGGTGATTGACATGCAAACAATAGTTGCATTACTGACATGTACAACCATTGTTGTTGAACTAAATTGCGATCGTATCCGTGATTCAGAATACAACAAATGTACAGAGTTGTATTGGCAATATCGACAATCAAACACAATACATGAATGTGGGTTCAAACTTGATGATTGTATAATGTATGATTACTAAGAGTGCACAACGTGTAGATTCAACATTATAGTCTGATTGTGTGTCATGATGGTTGTTATAATCAAACACGCAATGCAGTCAATGTACAATAACCATTGTATATTGCAATGCATAACACAGTCATTGCATGATGGATATCAAATGATTCATTTTACACGAATACGGTTGTCAATACAACACCATTAATACCATGCTGCATATATTACATTGTAAACTGTCATAAAACAACACTAATTGACCAATATCAAACCAGTTGATGTTGCAATCTACATCCGACTTTCAACAAGTGTATTGCTCCGTTTGTTGTACAATACACGACATGATCAGTCGATGATATCATGCAACTGGCAAGTGATTGCAAGTCTGACTGATAGTTACAATCAACACTGATTGTTGTCATGTCATTAATGTATATGTAATAAACCGTGTCAATGTGTCAATCAACAATCCAGTAACTGTCAATGTAATACTTAACACAGTATTCAATCAATAATATGGTTGTTGACCCATTCACAATACTCGACAAATATCAACAAAATAAAGTTTAAATTTATTCAAAATCAAATTCATTGGCAAATCATCAATCCGAATCTGAATTCGGTTCTTCGAATTTCAAATCATGCTTTTTCATAAGATCTTTCAATCGTTGTCTTATATTGTATACTTTTTTCTTTGCCGCTTTATAATCTTTTTTATATTGCTTTTCAGTGTTTGGACTGTACGTTGACTCGGATGTATCTTGGTTTAACACTTCTTTTAAATGTTGATCGAGTCCAAGGGCTACATAATCATAATAGATTTTATGTTTCACCTTTTTCAACTTTTTAGCGTTTTTAAGTTTTGTCTTTCGAGAATCAAGAACTGTTTGTTGTCTTCTGCTTAATACAATTCTTTGACTTGAGCCAGTATGATTCGGGTTGGCTACATTCATTGGTTGTTGATGACCTTGACTGGAAGTGCTTGGACCAGGTTGATCCATTGGGAGTTGATGACCTTGACTGGAAGTGCTTGGACCAGGTTGATCCATTGGGAGTTGCTGATCCTGGTTTGAATTGATTGAATTGATTGTATCAATTAAGCTTTTCCAGTCTTCATGAATACTTGGATCAGATTGATCCATTAGAATTTTCCAGTCTTCTTCAAAAACCTCTGGACCAAGCTCGTTAGTTAGATGTTGCTTGCTTTGACTGAAAGTACCTGAACTAGCTACATCCATTGGGTTTTGCTGGTCTTGACTGGAAGTACTTGGGCTGGGTTCATTAATTGATTGTTGCCAGTTTTCGTTGGAGACTCTTGAATTGATTGCATTAATTAGGCCTTGCCAGTTTTCGCCAGGAGCACTTGGATTAGGTTCATTGGTTGGGCTGGACACTTGACTAAAAATGTCTGATGCTTGGGATGGACTATCTTTTTTAAATGGGATCAGTATTGCATTAGCGGTTGCTGCCGCAGTCAGTAAGAATAGTATGTCAGTGTATTTCATTAGATTGATGAATGCGTCTAAAAAATTAATACAAAAGTAGAGTGTTGAAACTGGTATCGATTATAAAGTTGAGCACATGTCATTGTATTTATATTTTTTGTATAGCAAATCAACCCAACCCTTTTAGGTTAACCAATATACAGGACTACTTGATTGCTTTTAATGAGCCACTATCAAACTAAACAGTGTGGTGCTCCCTATCCATAATATCATATTAATGAGTTTGATGTTCACATTCATTGGACTATGCTTTTACGACCCTTTTATCAGGTATATTGAAAATCACCCTTTAAGGATGTTGTGTAGCCTTGTAAACGCTCCCTTTTACAACCGTATTCATGTAGAGTAAAATATTTTGGTATTGATTTTGCAATGACTGTGTTATGCATTGCAATACACAATGGTTACTACACATTGACTGCATTACTTGTTTGATATACAACAACCATCATATGACACACAATCAGACTATAATGTTGAATCTACACTTTGTGCACTCTTAGTAATCATACATTGTACGATCACCAAGTTTGAACCCACATTCATGTATTGTGTTGGACTGTCAATGTTGCCAATACAACTCTGTATACACATGTGTTGTGTTCATCACCATCCAACCCAATCTCACCATTTCAATCAATCTTGGTCAATGTTGATGGTTTACACGCTAATTCATTATCCAATCTTGTCTGACATTATTATTGGCTTTAATCACATTTGGTCTGTACAACTGCCATGAGTTGTACTACCATTATCATGGTGTATTTGAACACCAAATATTCCAATACATCAATAATACCACAGTGTAAACAGTAATACAGTTGATCAGTATTGTGGCAAGACTTTTCATTCAAGTTTGTATTTGGAAATACTCGATGGTTTAATCACCACACACTGTTTGTAATGCGATTGTCATTGATCTCAGTCCAGTCCACTCCAGTCCATTTGATTTATGATGATGTTTAGTAATCCATTACCATGTGTTGTAGTAAACTAGTTTGTTTATTCAACCAAATCCACAACAATCACATTCAGAATATTAATTTACAGTATTTCTAAATGCATGTTTGATAACAATCCAATTTTGTTACAAAAAACTGATCAAAACAATACTAAAATGGAACAACTCGTTTGTGTGTTTTACAACAATCCAAACATGAACAATTCTTGGCAATTGTTGGACATTCGCATGAATGAAATTATCAAATCAAAATTCAACTTTACTAATTTTATCAAACATGGAGTTGGATGATGTTATGAAAGAGTTGATTCACCGCCTGGAAGATTTGAAACCATTAACAACAGATGCTCAACTATACAAGGCTGATGAAATATGGAACAGACTGCTTGACTTGCTACTGGAGTTGAAACAACAGAGTTACAGTAGGTTTAATAGCCATTGTATTATTGATGAATTCAAACTGTTGCTGATTTTGTGTTGGTTTTGAGTGACAGAGTCTACAGATGTAGTGCAGCGCTTACAGAGTATTGAACTGCAAGATATCACAGCCAAGTATTTGGAGTATAATCGACCCAGTTTACAGGTATTCATATATTGTAACAATAATGGATTGTTCATGACTAAACTAATCAACATGTGTTGTGTAGATCAAAGTAATGGAATTTACTACAGTGTTTGCGAGTATTGTACACTATGATGATGATTTCAAAGTATCTCAACGACTAAGCAACCAAATTGTACAACTCATGCAATCACCAAGTCGTCAAGTCAAAATGGCGGCAAGTCATGATTGATATTGATCAAATGATTGTCATTCAACTCACCCAGTGTCAATATGCATATAGGTGATATACACAGTTGTTCAATCATGAGTATAACTGCAGCGTCGAGTTTATAGTTGATATGGGTACGAGTCTGATCAACAAGTGCTCACATTGGCGACTGGCCTATTATCGACCGTTTGTCATGATATTGACGATGAAAGTGTATGTTTACAACGATACAGTATTGAATCAGTTTGGATAGCGTGTCGAGTTTTGTTGATTGTATACTTGACATTGGACTAAGAGCACGCATGATCTGGATAGCGGGAACAATTGCATCCAATATGCACGACTTTCCTGTATCGCTTGTACGATCGTTGGTTTTTGAGCAATTGACGATATCAGTGTGTGATGTCGATATGGGTTACTCTTTGTGCCTGTTTGAATATGTCAACGACATGATTCAGACATCTACAAACAAGGCCGAGATGATCAAGGTGTTTCAAGAATATGGAATTGTGAAGCAACTCAACACTGCTCTTTCACGTAGATATCTATGTTTGCATGATTATGATAGTGGTATTGTAAAACTACTCAAAACACTTGTTGATTTTGCCGACAATCATTCCGACAGTTCAATACGTACCGAGCTGGAGCAAGGCAGGATATTTGAAAATCTAATGGTTATTGTACAATCGGATGATACTGACTACACAAACAGAAGGGTTGCTGGCCAGATCATTGAAACGTGTTTTCAGCATCGGGTTCATGTTGCTAGTCCGGACATTCGGCCATACAAGGACAATGCCGAAATTGATATGAATTCTGGAATGGCTGGATATACACATGGAAAGGCACGCACACTTGTTGAGATGCAGTATATCCAGTATCTGCAATCTATACTTTGCAAATCCATGTGGTGGATCGATATCACAAACCAGCATATTGTGGAGCAATGGAGGGCCGACTCACTCGGTCAGAATATATCACCATCAACATTTAATCTTGCATTGGAACAACTCGGGGTTTTTATCAAACAGCTTGTTTGTAGTGGCAGTGATGGATTGGGCACAATTATCCCAGGACCTGTTGAACTGACGTATATACTGGACAATGGCATACCTGACAATGTATATACGCGATTGATGACAAATGTATCGGATCTTGAACATGGATCAAATCACAACACTGGTCAAATGGTGCACAATCTGATTGATGCATCAATGTACAGTGTTGTATATGGACAAACGATGATTGCACCACTGAGTATACGACTCAAATACACCACAATGGTACCATGCGATATATTGTTATCGACTCGACTTGTTTCAAGTGTGCCCATCATTGACAGCAGTCCCGAGTTTATATCACGCAAGTTCCAATGTCTTCCGAGTGAATTCCGTGTCGAACAGGATGGCAGTGTGACCATCAACTCATACATCAACAATTTGAATCCGATATGGCATCGAGACATGTACAAATGCATTGCCAAAATATTCAAATGTTTTGTCCCAATGTTTGAAAGTCTGATCAGAACGATGGATCCAATGTTCAAGTATATTGATATTTGCAATGGCACAAAGGGATATGAATCATCAAGTCAGTCATATCGTGGTGGTATGGAACCAGACACTCGAGTCATTCGTCCCGTGTATGTACCAACACTTCCAAAACATTTTGAATCCAAATATGAATCAGCAAAGCCAGTGTCACTGCATGGTCGTAATCTACAAGTCATTGTCAAGCTCACCAACATTCAACTGACACCATCCAAACCTAAATACGACGAGGGAAACTGGCACATTGAAGGTCCAATTAACGAATCGATTGTTGCAACTGGACTGTATTACTACGACGTGGAAAATATCACCACACCCGAACTCGATTTCCGCGTGGCTGTTGATCGTTTTTATCAAGTAGCATCTGATATGTATTGGGAAGATGTGTATGACATTAATCTAGAATCACCACGCAGTCAGTATATAGGATCGCTTGAATTACCAAATGGTCGGTGTGTAGTTTATCCCAATCGATACCAACACAAAGAACAATCATTTGAACTTGCAGATCCAACTCAACCAGGACACTGCAAGATTCTGACATTTTTTGTAGTGAATCCATCTCATCGGATTGTTTCGACTGCGCATGTGGCTCCGCAACAACCACAATGGTACAACTCGAGTCTTGACAAGACACCCATACCGCCTGAACTGTGGAATGATGCCACGCAGTATATTCAAGGTGTTCAATCACCAGCTGAAGCCAAACACTATCGAGATGAATTGACAAGTGACCGAACTCGAATCACAGCGGCATATAACGAATACAGATATGAGCGGGTGTATTATCTTGATCATTGATGATTGATTATGAGGTTGTGATTTTACAACAATGAGTTGTAATAGTTTGATATGAACATGATGACTCGGACTCTATTCAGTCGGATCAACTCGACTACAATTGGTCGTGTATATTATGATTGACAAGATCAATTGTAGTTGAACTCGAATACAGATTGACTGTTGAATCACAATGCGTGGTATCAGCAACATGATGTGCTATATAGTGGAATGTATACGCTAACCTGACATGTGTCATGTAGTGTGTATTCGATCAATATGGGTATTAGCAATCAACAAGTCATACGATGTTTGTGTTCGAGTGATGGAATGAAATACAATGGAATGGAGTGGAGTGGAATGAGTGCACCAATCCAGAATACGAGTCAACCATGACATATGATCATGATGTGTGGGTTATTATATACCTGACACTAATATCCATGCACATGAGTCTTGGTGTCCTTGCCACATTTAATTACGTTGGGTTCTGTATAACACTATATGTGAAACTATTCTGAATGTTGAATAAACGACCCAAAAATCAGATTCAACGCTGACAAATGACCTGCAATCCAAACAATACAACCCACGTTTATAAATATTGCAAAATCGATGTAGCAAGTTGCAGAAACGCCATACAGATTGATAGTCAACATGAAATATCTGGCTTTTCGTTGCGGTGATGCAATCAATGATGTTGATCAACTCGATGCACTTCAGGGTTTACCAAATCAATAGCATATATTGATGTGCTTGATGTGTTTGATGTACTCGAAGCCGTCAATAATCCAGACCTGTATGACTGTTGATCGGCCATACAAGTTGTAGCAATGAACAAGCTTGACATTTTCAAAACATGATTTTGATGACTAGACAACGTATCAAATGACTTGTATATTCAACCACATGTTTGATTACAGATGGTTTGTGGAA